TTTCAGTGTATAATGAAAGGAGAATAGGTTGGTTAATGTAAAATATTTTTCTGGTCAATAAATATTTTATTTATTTATTAGAAAATGATTTATAGATTAATTTTTCGTAATTTATTTTTTAAGTTTTTTATTTTAAAATATAAATACTTAAAATAATATTATTTTATAAATTTAATATTAATATGATATTTTAGTATCATTTTAATAAAAAAATATTAATTATTAACATATTTAAAATATATTTATTAATATTTTTAATAATATAATATAATATTATTACAATAATATACATATTATTACAATAATATACTCAATTATATTATAATAATATATGATACTGTTATATTCTTATTTTATTAATATATAATAAATTAATAATAAAAGTTATATTATTTATTAATTTCTTAAAAATAATATTATTGAATTATTAATAGTGAATACTTTTATTTATGTATTTAATATTAATATAATAGTCTAATAATATTATAAAAATTACATAAATATATTTATTAATAATTTTAACATATAATATAATATAATATTTTTTTAATTTTATAGATATTCAATATAATTTATCATATTTTTATTTTAATAGAATATACTAGAGTTAATATTTTTATTTATAAAATTATAAAAATAATATTTTTAATAATAATATTGGCATAAATATTATTAAATAAATTATTATAATATTTTTAAAATAATAATATTAAGTTTTTATAATAAATAATATTATTTATTATATTTTATATTTGCAATAAATAATTTTTAACAAATTTATCAACTAGTGAAAAATGGTTTACACAATATCTTCCAAATATTATAAAACATTTTCTAGAAAATGTTTTCCAGAAGATGTAATTCATTTTACGAAAAACATTTTTTGGAAATTAAACATTTTTTGTTTTATTTTCATTAAAAAATAACTTTTGTTTTAATTGCTAAATATGAAAAAAAAGTATTTTTATATATGGAAAAGATATAAATAGGAAGGCATTTGAGAGAAGGAAAGAACATGTAATGTAGTATTGTGAAATTTTGTTAATTTTGCAAAGAAATATTTATATTTTTTGATAATGTTAAATCGCCAAAATTACCAAGTCAATTCATTTAATTCTAAATTAGACAAAAAATAACTTCTATATAAGATCTGTACTTTTTTTTTATAAAAAATATCGTATTATGATGGTTACGAATAAAAAAAATGTAAAGTAGTTTAACCAACACATTCAATTAGTTACGTGTCTGAAGAATATGTGTATTGTCAACTGATTAAAAATAAACAAACACTAAACGTTGATTTAATACAATTAGGAACAATGTATTTATTAATATCAATATGTATGTTTTCATTTTAGTCTTTCATTTTCATTTACCTGACTGAAAAAGTACTATTTCTATAAATAATGTTGATAGTGTATTATTTTAATAATTAAAGAAGAAATAGATATTATTTTCATAAGTTAATCAATTACGGGACTTCAAATTTTCTTTTAATCATAAATAAATTAATATATTGTAGTTTCCTCTTCAAAATGAACTTTTTATAAAGGAATAAAATTATATTTGCTCCAAACTTTTTATTTTTAAAATTTAGCTATCTTTTTTTATCCATAAAGTCTAAAAGTTGGACAACTATTTTTTAATTTGATCCTTAAACTTTGTATGGTCTTATCAAATGATTAAACTTCTAAATACACGAATTAATTTGAGAAAAGTTGTCAAGTCAAGGGACTAATATGGACCAAAAAAATTAAGACCAGGTTATGAGTAATTCTCAAGCTGAGGGAGTAAATGTTAGTTCTCCCTTTTCTAAATAGTAAATTGAAGGGTAAACTACATATTTAATACCTAAACTATTACATTTGTTCTTTTTGGTACCCAAACTTTATTTTATTTCAAAACTATAAATAACGTTTAGTTTATGTTTCATTTTGGTACCCACAATTAAAAAGTTAACAATGATATTGATGTGTCACCCTAAGGTAATGTCGCATCATCATTGAAATTTTCTAAAAATATTATGTCATTATTTCTGTTAATTTTTGAACAGCAGTGTATCAAAATGAAACTTAAACTAAAATGTTACTGAATTAAGTTCCGTTTTGAAAAAAATAATATTTTGATACTAAAACATAATAAAAATAATAGTTTTTGTACTAGATATGCAGTTTACCCTCAACTGAAAGAGGTAAAAAGAGTAATATGATGAAAGTGGGATCAAGATCGTGGGAGTGGGAGTCTTCCTTTATCGATAGTAGATTTTTTTTTGGTATATTATCGGGAATGTCATTACCTCTCTTCCCTTAGGTATTGTAACATTACCGGTGTTTTGGACTAAAATACCCTTAAATTATTATTTTTTTTCAAAAACCTTATTTGTTATTGAATAATAAAAATTACAAGGTTAAATTACAAATTTATCCTTAAATTATTTTAGATTTACAAAAAAATTATAATTAAAATTTTATATAAGTTAAGGGGTTAAATTTTTTTATATTTCATTAAACATTTTTTATATTTTTAATTTTGTAAAAAAATTATATAAATATTATAATTTAATTTTTTAAAGAAAATATATAAATATTTTATAATTGTAATATTATACAAATATATAATTTAGACAATTTGATCAAATATATATTCTAATAATCTTTTATTCCTTTAACTAAACACGATAATCTTACATTCCTGCTAAACCAACCAAACACAAAATATTTGACGTCATCCACTTTAAAGCATTCATTTTTATTATCAGACGGAAAGTGTCGGGTAAAGGAGCGAAAGGGTTGATTATGGCTGGCAAATCCACTAAGGATAAAGACAAGGACAAGAAGAAACCCACCTCTCGTTCTTCTCGTGCTGGTCTCCAGGTTCCCCCACCCCCTCTTTCTCAATTCTCTGCTCGAATTAGCTTCTCTTATGTTGGATTCGGTGAATTAGATTTAAAGATAACTTTTTTATGGATTTGATTGTTGGCAAAATTTTAGTTCCAGATCAAGAAAATAAGATATTTTTTTGTTGATTTATCCTCCCATTTTTCAAAAGATCGGTGTTAGTTGTTGCAGAGGGACTGTTATGTTCAATTATGGTACAGAGTTTGATCTTTTAAATTGTTTCGTACAAGATGAGTGTGATCTTAGAAGTTGTTCATTTGTGGTTGTTTACTTGTTTCTGCTCGATACTCTCTTTCCTTTAGTGCCTGAAATTTGTATGTAATTTCATTATTCCATTGATCTGGAGAATTTTTCTGAAGGCTGAGACAAATGCTAATCTAAAATGTTCATATGTAATTTCACTTACTACCACAGGTTTTGTAAACAGGTTTTTTATTTATAAGAAAATGATGCTTGGTTTTCTCTCATTTCCTGAACTGAATGAGCTTAAAAGGTACACTATGCATATATAAATAACATGCTGTATTAGTAAAAGCATGTGTTAATTTGAATTCGTGGCCAAAACTATTTTAACAGGGACATAGATCTTTAATGTTTGGGTTGATTATTTTATGTCAAAAGGTGGATGGTTTGTAGTAGCATTTGGAAACCAGGCAAAAGGTGTAACTGCATGCATATTCGAACAACAGTTTATTCAACAGAACATTTTGGATCCTGAGTTAGCGTTTTTGAATGCTTCCTTCAAAGCTTATTGAACTGGAAACATAAGTATAACTATTATAAATGTCAGGTGTTATAGAAATAAAACTAAAATAAAATTGAAGAATTTATGCTTGGAATGGCGATTGCAAAAGAGCTTAGCGTTGATGATGGACCAAGTGCTGATATTCACGCTTAGCAGTTATGAATCTTCTGTATGAATGTTTAAACTATTAATCATATCATTTTAATTTCTAACTTTTTGGCATTTGCGAAGGGTTGAACTGATGTTTATCATCATGTTACCTGCTTCGTTATTCTGTGAACATTAAAAACGTATTTTAAACTAAAATCTTTGCAAACTGCAATTTGGAGGATGAGCAAGTTGCTCATGAGCATGATGTGGTTGTCTCTTGAGGCCTTATCAATTGTGAGAACTGCTATGCATGTTGCTTATAAATGTTGTCGTTAGGCCACCTAAAACCGTGAACTTCTTTTTCGTTAGATAGTTGTAGGTAGGTAGGTACGCTGGTTAAATTGGTTATATCATTCAAAAACAGTTTGCATAAGCTAATTCATGCTAGCAAGTTCTCTGTACTCGTATTTTGATTCTATGTTTGTTATAACTAGTAGATTCTGGAATCCTCCAAATTGGCATATTTTTCCATGTTCAAGTGAAGAAAGTGTTCTGCACCCTAAGCTGTTCTATCAGAAATTGGGTTTTGAGAATGTGGTCAAGGCACATTGGCATATCATTATCTGTTATGTATTATATACTTGATAGACTGAATATTTTATTCTACTTTGCACTCTAGGAGAAGTAGAGTTAATTCTTCAAAACCATTTCGAGCTGCTACTTATTGTTTTACACATTCTCCCTATAGTTTCCTGTGGGTCGGGTCCACCGATTGCTGAAGACAAGGGCTCAAGCAAATGGAAGGGTTGGAGCAACAGCTGCCGTGTAAGCAGCTTCCATACTGGAGTACCTGACTGCAGAAGTGCTAGAACTGGCCGGTAATGCAAGCAAGGATCTGAAGGTTAAGCGTATTACACCTAGGCATCTGCAGCGTGCCATCAGGGAGATGAATAACTCGACACCTTGATCAAGGGAACCATTGCCGGCGGAGGTGTTATCCCGCACATTCACAAGTCACTTATCAACAAATCTTCAAAGGAGTAGTTTATGTAATTGATATCTGTTAATGTTCGAATTGGTTTGAACCAGGAAACCTCAGATAAAAATTGTTTTGCGCCTTGTCTTTTTGCCTGAACAATATGGATACCTATTATTCAGTAGCCAATTATGGTGATTTCAGGATTTGAATTAGAAAGGTGGCTTCAATTTGCAATACTATGGCAAAATTCCAGTGTTTTATGTGAAAAGAAGTGTCCAAACCATCTCTAAAACAATGCTCAAATGCATTCATAACCAATTTTCACAAATGTACAAATATATGCCATTTTGCCACTCCTTTGAATGGCAAATAGATACAACTGTCAAAACAAACATCAGTAATTCAAACCTTAACACCACCAAAAGGAGAGAAGAGAACTACAAGTGAGAGCTCTACGAACACCCCAGAGAATTAGGGTTAGGATAAGTCTCAGCACATCAAAATTACCCAAAAGAAGAGTTCTGATTACCTCATCCTTCCGGGAAAGATTGCTTGAAACAAGAAGGGACGAAAGGAAAGGAAAAAAGGATAGAAGCAAGAAATAAAAAGAGGTGTCCTAACTATGCTATTCTGGTTTGGGTGGCAATCTGCTTATGAAAGGTGAAATGGCTGCAAGTAATGCCTTGGGGCATTCCTCGTGCGGAAGATGGCCGCAGCTGGATATTGCAATCAGTCTCTGCATGGCAACAAATATAGAAAAATCAGGAAACAGGACAGTAGTTGTTAGTAAAGTATGTACTCAACAGGTCTGGTTTGTTTATCGGAACAAAACCCGGAAATGGTAAACATTCTTTCAATTTGAGAGCAGAGACTCATTGTTGCTGAATACTTACAGAATTTACAAGTTTTGAAGCCATGGCCTGCGAAGATTTAAGTGAAATATGGGCATCTTCAGCACCAGCAATGACCAATACTGGCATCTCTTCAATAGATTTTAACAGCGATGTTGCATACTGTGGTGAAAGGATTGTTTCATGTGACAACCTGCCTATCTCATGAAGTGCTTCGTCCCAACCTTCTACACATAGTGGGGCCTGATCAAAGGAAGATCAGTTCAGCAAATCATATTGTAAAACAAACTAGTAAGGGTATCTATTCAATGTTTTAATATTGCAGAAAATCTACCTTGTAGAAGCTCAAAACTTCTGTTGTTAACTTGGTTGAATCATACCATGCACGTCTATTCACCACTTGTGTAATTTCTGTTCGCAGAAGTGGACGGATTAAGTGCTTCTTCCCAAGTGAAGTGCGCAAGAGTATCCTTGCAAAGGTGGGAACAACTTCTCTTGACAAGCTGACATTTAGCAAAACCACTGCTTTGATTGTAATCTGAGTAAACCAAAAAACAAACGATAGAAGTAAGAACCGAGCTTAAAGGTATTAAGCCACTTCTCTTTATTTTAAGATCCAATGATAACTCTCTCCCATTCCTTCTATATGGATTTCTTAGGTAAACATTAAGAGAACAGTCACATATATGATGTTACCGGCTCAATATAAAGTAGACAATGGTAAAATTCGCAAAATGAACCTTGCAGTAAAGTTTATGGAGAAAAAGTGAGATTCCCCGAAAATGCTAAAAATAAAACCAGTAAACCAGTCGGCCACTTCTCAGAATTATTTCTCAAGACTCAACGTAAATAGGCATTACTTTTTGTTTATTTACCAATCTACTGTCGGTACAAAACACATTATTATCGTCAGCCCTCATATTTTCTTGTTTCACCACTTCAAGTGGCTATATAACAGCAAAAAGTGCCAATAAATTAGATGTATCAGTAAAACACTAGCCACGGTAGCGAATATAAGAAAGATGCACTTCTGTTGTCAAAAAATCCAAATTGGTACAGAAAAATCATGGAAGCTTACTCACATTGAATGAATTCATTGAGTTTTGGACTTTTTGTGCAGCTTTCAAAGCAAGCAGACCTCCATCATCATGGCCAACAAGCACCACTGAAGAAAACCCCATCTCAGAGCAAAAGGAAAGAAGCAAGTCAACCTGAAAATATCAGGTAATACTTAAGAGCTTCATATGATAGTCATAAAGCTAAAATGAAGTATACAAAGATCCAGCAAAAAGCCAATTAAAACTCAAACAAAACTGAAGATCAATAAATTAGGAGAGGCGACATTTGGCTTATAGAAGATAAAAGGAAAAAAAGAAAAAAAAACATTCCAACTACATGCATAACACTATAAGCATTTAACTTGGTAACATCTCCTTCCTGCCACAAAAGCACATCACTTCTGAATAAGCAAATAACATCCAAAAGAGTGTGAAACCTAACCTGAGTTTCAAGCTTGTAAGGATTGGGCAACTCTTTTGCCTCCCAGTCCACCCGGCTTGGCCTAGAGGTCAATCCCCAACCAGGCCGATCAAAAGCAGCAACCGAACAACCAACTTGGCGAGCAAGCACGTCCATCACATGCCTCCAAGAGAAGACTCCTCCACCAAACCCATGCACTAAAACAATACCAAACTCACCATTTGCCTCTATATCTTGTTTCAGAGTCCCATGGTTCATATGACCTGTCTCAACCTGTGCATCTGAATCGTCAAGCCTGAAAACAGGAATATCTTCAGAAAGTACAGGAGAAGTTGGGGGACCATCCAACAGTGGAGCATAAAGTGAAGAGCTGTGAAATTGATTGCTATAGGTCCTCTGAAGATGGTGAGATTGCGTTTTTGATGACAAGCTTTGTACTTTCCTATCAAGCTTTAGCCTTCCAGGAGCTACTTCTGGTGTGAAACTAACTTTAGGTCCCAGAAAGGTAGTAGATGACAAAGACCTAGGGGGTGTACCAGGAAAGGAAAGCTTGTAATGAATGGTAAGCCCTTGCAATGTAATGAATAAGCTATCAATGTCAGCAAGTAATCTAGCAGGGAGTTCCCCTTCATCATGAGATTGCCCGAAAGGTTTTCTCCTTGCTTCACTGTCACTTTTTGGGGTTTTCCCTGCAGAGGGAGTGGGAGATCGTGGAACCTTCTGGAAGCCAGAGAAAACATTTTTGCACGAAAGAACCTGCAATAACATGAATGTTACAAGTCACAACCAAAAGAAAATATCAATACTCTATTAAGAAACCAGAAGCTATGAAAGCCACAGACTCACAGTTGCATTAGTGTAAACCACTGACTTAGATCTCATGCAATGAAACACATATCTAATAGTTCTTAGAGAAATAATAATCATTGTTAGAAAAACAAACATGGCTAAAATGCAGAATCAGTTCTAACATAATCATTTCATATCTTCAGAAGTTGCTTTTTGATAAGCAAAAGTCAAGGAAATAAATGAAGAAAAAATCCCAACATAATTATGTCATATTAGGTCAAATCAAGCCTTTGGTTTTCAGGAGAACAAACTTTTTTTGCTCTGTGAAACAAGAAGACCCCAAAATTGAAATTGAAGGAAGAAAAGCTTACAGCTTCAGGGTCAACTCGATGAAACATAAGCTTTCTCCTTGCTCTGCAACTTGTTCTATAAGCAATCACAGTATGACCAAGTGCGAAAAGTACAGAGGAAAGAAACAAAACAGGCATTCCCCATGGTTTCTTCCAATGAAGCCTTTGGCTTGCCGACGATGTCTCTGCTTCTATTCCAGAATTCACCGTAAAAACACACGCCTTAATTGAAAGTACAAGGATAGAAACGAATGAACACAAAGTGGCGGTTCCTACGAAAGGCCCATGAGATAATGTCGGACCATCACACAACGAGTATACACCTGTGAATCATAAACATAAACATAATGGGAAATTTTTTTATTGATTTCTTTCATTTTTCCCGAATTAGAAAAAAAAACGAAAGTGAAAAATCTTACAGGTGATGATGATAGATCTGAGAATGGAGACGAGAGGGATATCGATTAAGGAGCTTTTGAAAGCGTAAAGACGAAAGTGTTCGTTGAAGCCGTAACACGTGACGCACGTGAAGCTGGAGAGTAAAAGGAAAGGGACCATGATATCGCCTACCGCTACCATCAACGGCAGAGACGATGCTGCAAGCGAAGCCAGCATAACCACCATGAAAATCGCCGTCCGTACGATCCTCCTAACTTTCTCCACCACTATCCATGCTTTCATCACCATTGTGTAAACAGAATCGGACGGACACCACAATATATTCTTCCAGATTTTAATACAAAAACCAAAACGAAACCAAAAAAAAAAGTTTCCCCCTTTTCCCACTTAAACAGAGCTATGAAGGAGTTCAAATCTCGGAGAAAACCAATTGAAACGCCGTATGCGACGGCATTCCGGCCGTCGTTCTAGTAAGAGAAGCGGGTAAAAGGTCAACTTCTGTCAGAGGCGGAAGATCTGCAACCGGCGTATCGCCGTGGTCTCGGATGGAAACTCCGTCGCGGTAAATTTGTGTTGAAATGGAGTGTTTGAAAGGAATGAGTTGTCCCTGTTTTTGTGAATCGTCTTTGTCTCTGTTTTTCTCGCTGTGTTTTCCTTTTCTCTTTCTCCTCCGCCCTTTCCCTTTTGCGCTGAATTTTCCTCTTTTACTTATAGTATATTCTTCCTTTTGTATCTCACACAGCATGGGTCAAAAAGAAAATTATATTTTTTTATAATTTAATTAATAAATTATCACCGAAAATGTATTTATTATAATTTAACTAATAAATTACAATCAGTTAATTAATACAAAAATTGTATTTTAATTCATCGGTCACATATCCATTTATATTAGTAATATTTTTTACTTTTTTTTACAATCTTTTTAGGAAGGGTAAACTACCTTTTTGGTCACCCACTTATTATTTAGTTTTTGTTTTAGTCGTTAAATTATTATTTTTAAATCATACTCAATATTACGTTTTAATCATTTATTGTTAAAAAATTAACGGTGATATTGATGTGTCACCATAAGATAATATTATATTAGTATTAATAAATAAATAAATATTACGTTAGCATCACAGTTATTTTTTAATAGTAGATGATTAAATCAGAATAAAAAAGTTAGGTATGATTATGAAAAAAATAATAGTTGAATGATTAAAGCGTAAACTAATTAATAGGTATGTGAGCAGATAGGTAGTTTACCCTTTGAGAAATAACTGTCTACTTTTTGTTCATTTACTCTTTTTCACCATAAAAGTTTACTGTTTTCAATACTACTCCCTTATTTTAATGTATATCATTCTCAATAATTGTATATTTATTTATTACGTTATTATTGATAATTATTTTTAAATACAATTATTAATTAAAAATTTTATGTTTTTTATGGGTTTTAAGACAATTAAATTAACTTATTATTTTTGTTAAAATTAATTCTTAAACTGTAACGTCTGGGAGATAGAGACATGATTAAAAGGAATAAACTTTTTCTTTTATGAATCTGACAGCACTTGTTTCGGCCTGGAGCATATCTGGCACAGCACTGACATCCATTTTGTTATTTTATATTTTCTTTGTTTTTTTTTATTGGACGGATTTTTTAAGCTATAATAATAATATTGAAGTTGATTGCGGATATTGGTTAATTAAGATATTATTAACACGTTAATGAGAATTAAGATTAGAATTTTGTTAATATCATATTTGATTTATTAAAAATAAAATAAAATTAAAGTATATGAATTTAAATTTTATTGTTTTTTAAAATAACTATAATTATAATCAATATATTTATATGATTATAAATATAATCAATTAGTATAATGTGTAAAAAATAACTAATACACAAAATATACTTAAACTTAGGGTCTATTTATGTCACTATGATTGGTTTTCTGGAAAATATTTTTTATTTTTCATTGGTAGAAAAATGATGGTCAATGTAATTCATTTTCCTGATCATCATAATTTTATTTTTCTGAAAAATAATTAACGATTTAAATTTTCTTAAGTCATTTTTAAAATTTTGCGCTTCAAAACATAAATATTCAAAATTATATTTTTTATGTATTTAATATTAATATACTATTTCAATACAATTTTAATAAAAAACATTAATTATGAAAATATATTTATTAATAATTTTAATAATATAATTTTATTAGTTTTTAGTGTTATAATAATATATTTAATTATATTGTAATAATACATGATATTATATTCTTATTTTAATACTCTCTCCGTCCTATAATTTGTGTCTCATATTGACTATGTACATAGTTTGAAGTAACATATTTGATCAATAAAAATGATAAAAGTACCCTAAAAAATGATTGATAAATTTATTTTGATAGGTGTAAAATAGTTGGACATATAAAGGTAAAAAAAGAAATATAAGTGTTGTTTGTTGACTTTTCTAATATGACAAATTTAAAAATTAAAAGAGATACATTTAGTGAGACGGAGGGAGTAATATATAATAAATAATAATATTTATTATATTCAATATTTATAATAAATAATTTCTATAAAATTTATCTACCAATGAAAAATAATTTACACAGTATCGCTCAAATACCATAATTCATTCTACATAATCATTTTCTAAAGGATATAATTTATTTTACGAAAATTATTTTCCGAATTTTTTTTTTTGGAATAAAAGGACCTTAAATTAAAATAAATTTGTACATGGCCCATTTATAGTCGACTTAAATCAAAGTAATTTTGAACTAAGAATCTACACATGATATTTCTGCATTCGGAGAATCAAAATTTTATTTTATAGGGTATAGTTATTTTATTTTGGAGGGTGATAATATAATTTTACCATTATTTGAGTTTATAATTATATATTTTTAATAGGATTAAACTCAAATTCTACCACTCATGGGGAAAAAGCTAATTTTACGGCTAGTGTCACTTTAAAATTTGAAATTTTTAATGGGCTAAAATTAATGTAAAATTATTTTTGAGAATAAGATTTTGATAATATAATATTAACTAACACAATATTGAGAACACTATGTTATCTTTTTAATTTATTTAGTAAGAATGTAAAATTATAGTGTCTGGTTGAGAAAATGAAAGATTAATGAAAGAAAAATCTGTCAAATTATCCTTATGACATATTTTATTTTTAACACGTTAAACTTCAAATATTATCTCTATAAATAGGATTCCGAGAATCTAATATTATCTAATAAATTATTGGTAATGTTACATTATCTTGTTTGATTTATTTAGTATGAATGTAAATTTATAATGTTTAGTTGAGATAATGTAATATTATCTTAAAGAATAATTTATCAATTTATCCTTAAGATATATTTTATTTTTTAGAATGTTAATCTTCAAATATTAAATTAAACATATTCACATTTCATATCTAAAATTTATAAATATTTTAAATTTAGAATTATTATTTCTAGAGAATGACTTCAATTTTGTAAATATTTTAAATTTATAATTATTATATCTCTAGAGAATGACTTATGAAAACTGCCAGCCCTTAGTTAACTTGGAATCCTAGGTTTATTCCTCCGTTCATCTGAGCCTCTTAAAAGCCTAACTTCTTCGGACATAAACCCTCAAGTCAGTTACATTGTACAGATAAGACCTTTAGACATGATCCCGATAAACTCATGTGATATGACAGAGCGAAATTCAAGGTTTGACTATAAATCTATGTAGTCTGTCGACCTACAAATAACCATAACGGTCATACGATCAATGACATATTTTTTTCATTCATCTTAGATCAAGCCACTTTATGACACTCTTCTCAACTAATTGGGCTAATTTTATATACCTTTCAATAACGACCTCCGAAAATTACCAGCCCTCCACCAACTTGAAACCTTAAGTCAATTCTTCTATTCATTGGAGCCTAAAAAAGCCTAACTCATTAAAAAAAAATCATCGAGCCAACTACATCACATAAACAATGTATTTAGACAAGATCTCTGATAAACCTATGTGATTTGCTAAAGTGAATTCAAGGTCTAACTACTAGATATACCTAACATACCGACCTACAAATAATCACAATAACCCTACGACTGATACACACACTAAATAACATTATAAATATTTGTCAATCAATACTAGAAAAGGGATGAATTGTTTATTACCACAACCAACCCTTTTTTTATTAGGATGACCCATTCTCTTCTTCTCCATCCAAAATATTGGTTAATGAGTGTTTCTTATTCGATCGTAATTCTTCATCCAAATCATAAGGGTGAACTACTCGCAATCGACGAAATTCATTTATTTCCATTAATAATAATAATATTTCTAATAAATATTACATTTCGGTCACACTAGACTAGTAAAAAAATAATATCAACACGAGTTTAAACATAAGGTTGTATAGATACTTTATCACAAGGTATTTTTATAGAATTTAGTGAGTGAGATTATTGTAAAAAGATAATATTATTATTTTTAGGTGTTTTGTGTTAAAATAATTTTATATGTATATATAAATTTTTAATTATATATAAATCTCTTAAAAAATAATATTTTCATAATTTGATGGTAAATATTAAAAAAAATTATAATTAATAAGTAATAACAATATCAAACAATGTTTTGAGTGAATAATATATTAAATATTTAAAAAAATGAAAAATACTAAAGTAAAGGTCAAAGACATAAATCTTAAACGAAAATGAGAATGGGTGTGGGCGTGAGCCCCAAGAACCTGACCGTTAGAGTAGTTGGAGCCGAGTGGAGTAAGAGATGATGGACTGGTCTGGTCTGGTCGGGACCAGAAATCTAAAACCGTAATCGCAACGAGTCACGTCACATCACTGTTTATGGTCCCACTGCTTTCCAGCTTGTGTCCTATGGTTTTTCGTGGGCCCTTTCCCCACGTCTCAAACTTATTCAGTCTTCCATCTTTCAAAGGCCTCCGCTTTGATTTGCCTTTAGGTTAAATTTCATAATGCTAAATTTCCTTTTTGCCACTAAATTATAACAAATAATAGAAATGTCATTATCATTTTTGAATTTGTCTTTTTTATCACTATTTGTCAAAATTAGGATAATAACACATTTAATCTTAATGTTTAGACATTATGTTAATTTACTTTTAATTTTAAAAATAAATTCTAATATTTATCCCTATAAGTAGATATTAAGGTGGCGATTGGTTCGCTGAAATATTTTTGGAATTAGGGGGAATTAGAATCTAATTCCACCACTTTCCTATGTTTGGTCAAGTTTTCAAAGGGGAAATTGAAATCCAATTTCATCAAGGGAGGGAAAGTAAATTTCATCCATAACATAATGGAATTGAAATCCTTTAGAGGAGGGAATGTGAAATTTGATCATACTACCCAAATCAATCTTTTGGTATTCGGGTCATATTTTTTTAAAAA